TATTAGTCTTTCCATTGGCTTTGCGTAAGTTAGAAAATCTCAGATATGTCATTAGACGTTGTAGGATGGATGAACCTAGCATTCATACTTACGTATTCAATGTTTTATGTACCAGAACGATTTGCAACACTTGACGGTGCAGAGTGGCCATTCGGATAGTAAGCATTTTATAACGTAGTACTCTTCGTTTTGGATTTACATTCCTAATCCTGCCGTTGTTATTTACGCTGCATTTTCTAATTATCTTTTAGTTTAATTTCTGCAGCCTGTATCTTCTCATCTGCAGGCTTCGTAAACTCGGTGATCTATGGCGTAACACGAAATTTCATCTCACTCCAACCAATTACTTCTCGTTTTCAACGTGCATTTAGAAAAACTCTTGGTACTAGGTGTATATCTGAGTCCATGATGTCAGATGGCGAGGATTCGTTTACAGCGGAGAGTCTGTATCAACGCACAGATAATGGGTTAAGTATTAAAGTAGAAGAAATGGACGAGCGAGGGAAGGGGAAACAGCGTGAGACAATGGCAAACCGAGACATCGAAAATGATGATATAGTTGAAGATGATTCAAGTACTTATGATCAATACAGTCGGGAAAAAAAGGAACCCGGCAAAGAGGTTAAAGTACATAACAACATTAATAATGAATGCGATAATGATGGCGTGTCTATAGAGCAGTCAAACAATCGTAGTCGTATAATTCCAAGCATTATACAAAATAGTGCTAGTAGTTGGAAGTTCCTTGAACAGTTTGTCGTGAATTTTGGGAAACGTAATAGTAGTACACTGAATGTTGAGGTATAATTAAGACTAATTTGTAAACTGTTGTAAAATATGTTTCTTATCGATTTGTGCATAACATTATAAAAGTAATTGGAGTATACAAAAAAGTTTGGTTATTTCCATTTTCTAATATTTATGAAAGACCATAAATTTTCATAATTAATATTAACATTATTTGTAGTAAGACATAAAAGCTTATTGCCGTGTGTTCAAAAAAAGTTTATGCAGTCTTGATAAATAAATTTGAGTTTTACTTTATTATTATTATTGGTTTAGAAAAGCTGTTTCAGAAACACGTTATTATTAATCAGGTTACAAAATCTCAACATGCCTGATTCCATATCATAGCATATAGTTAACGTGTTAGAACTAAAGTCAGTAATAGTTAAAATAAAAGTGAAATATATGTGATAAAAACTTACTTGTGACTGTTGATGAGTTCATTCTTGAAACACAGTTTGTTTGAAGTTTAAGTAAATGGAGTATCTCTAATATGTAAGCAAATTGTCATTCTAATCCAATAGTTTCTCAGATAGAAAAGAATGGCAAGTGGATGTACTTTCTATTTAAATTAAGCTCCTAAATGGCATATTTAATTAATATTAATATTAATCGTATTCCATAAATCTATCATTAACAATACGAGTAGGCTTGTGAAACTAATTTGAAATTCGTCCATGAGAAGTGCTATACTAATAGGAAGGCACTCGTCCAGACCAAGGATGAGAATAAATAACAATGTTACTGATACATGTCATGAAAGAGTTACAAAAAGTAATAAAATTAAAGAAGAAAATGGGGCCAATTAATATTAGGTAAAAAATTTATTATTTCGTAATGAAATACGTCTCAATTGTTTTCGATTCTAAGCTCTGCCAAAACCAATGATGGGTGCTTTTAGGGATGTGTTCTCACACCTCTGCGGACATCTCATCACAAATCGGCGACGCGCAAATCTTTGACGTAATACAAATCGATTGTCACATGAGATTACGCCATGATAATCACCTTTACAAATTAATGTATTTTTGAAAACTCGGATTGTGTCTAGACTTAGTACATAACTTATATTTGTAAACACACAATTGTTTCCCTTTACATATCAATATTAAAATTTGGAAATAATTAACATTTTATTCTTAAATTCTACTCAACACAAATCTGCAAAGACTTTTATAATTATTACTGTACTTCCGTAAAAATAATCCAAGTTTTGGTCTATAAAATTAACACATTACTGATTTCTAGTAGTCAAGAACATCTTTGTGCAAAAAATTGGAAGTAACAACTACGCGTATCGTTATTATGACACAAAGAATGGAAGGGGCATTATAGCATATAGTCAACAAAATCCTTGTCAAGTTGATATTCTAATATGTTAATAAAACATTGTCTAATTAAGTACATTATTTTTATAAAATTATCTTTTATTGGCACGACATTGAGATAATTAGAAAGGACCCGAAATTAATGTCAATGGCAAGTTTTGGATTATTTTTATAAAGACATCGTATTAGAACAAGAGACGAATATAGATTAGTTTTATTCTTGTTCTATATAATTGGCATTTTCCGTAACGGTTACATACAATTTCGGGCAACAATGCAGCGCAACGCTTTTCTAACTAGTTTTACAATCTTTGGCTCTCAAAGTTTGGTGGTCGAATCTGATAAAATAATATAACTACGACTTGTATAAAAATTTACAAAACTTTTTTTGGTAGCTTAATTAAACTTCTACTAATTACCGATTACCAAAATCTGATTCTATATCATACTTTGTCTGCAAGCTTTTTCCAGTAAATTTCGCCTTTCTCACCTTACGTGACTAACAAACAAAGTGACAATGTCTTTATCAGCGGTCTCTTTGTACGTATTACGATCATTAATCATTTATAATAAAAATTTTAACAGAACTCAGTAGTACAGTGCATAGTTAATGACAAATGTAGCTTAAAAAAACACATATAAACTACGTGTATGAAATCCATCAGTAATAGCAGTGGTGTCTCTTGATCGATGACCGAAAGACATGACATTGCCTGATTGCTTACATCACTGTCATCACACAAAAATTGTGACCAAACCATATATTAACAAAAACCATAAAAAATTACCTAATAAGCCTTAACATAAAAAAAACCATTACGCATATAACAGAAATATAGTCAGCATTTTTTGCGCTTGATGGGGTAAAACGACATACACTACGCGGAATAAAATTCTGGCCAATTATAAATATATAAACGATCGACGTTTTTGCTCATCAAACACAGTTATTACTTTATATTTTATCGACGAATTAAGTATTACCCTGGTTTGAAACCTGTGGTATCAGACAAGCTATTAGGACAGCAGACAAAAATTATGACGCAAATCTTTAAATTCGGTTCAGGATGCACACAAACCGAGTTACCTCTTGAGTAGTTGTTGATGGGGGAGCCTGAGATTCAAGAAGTTGCGAAATTGCAGTAACGGAGGATTCGAGATAGTTGTATGATTCGGCTGACGGGAAAGGCGTACGAGCAAGGTGGATGGGCGGATCTAACTGGGCATTTGTAGTATGTTCCGATTCCTGAACAATTCCGACGCTTTGGTTACTACTTTCGTTGTCACTTGTGTCGGGACCCGAATCATTACGAGTATACATTTTTATTCCTTTTCTTTTTAAGTATTGACACAAGCTAGAGCGTTCTGATTCAGGGTAAAAGTTAGAGAGGTAAGAAAATAATTATAAGTAAATATATAAACAAATATGATAAATATGTATGTCATTGCTTATGTACACGTCAACAAATCCAAGGTTATCCTTGTAATCTCTTACTTGGAACTCCAGGAAAATTCTTTGCAGTAGACACTTCGAATAGTTCTGTAAATAAACTGCACATTATGGGACTAGAGTTTATGGTTGTATTGATCCGGGACCCACTTCATCCGATAGATTGGTTCAAAACCCAGCAAAGAAAATTTTGAATCACATTACGCAATTACCGAGAACGCAGTTAGTATGACAGATCTATAAACTGTTGTACATGAGATCTTAACATGTGTGTGTCGGATAATTTCGCCCATTATGTATGCGCTAGTATCTAGCCGAACTTGGTCAATTAAACAACGCTAAGACCTCACGTACAACAGATCCAAGTTCTAAGTGATCAAGATAATATAATCGCCATTTATGTACTCACTTACTGATACAAATTAAACGAAATTGGAAGGAGTACCTTCCTTCTGTGCGAACACTCAAATCCGCAAACACGAAATACACTGTCATCCTTTCCGCATCTTCAAAGTCTTGGATTAGATGCCCACTCGCTGTTGTGTTACCGACAAGAGTAAAACCTTGATGCTCTTGACCAGCATAGGAATAATTGACTAAATTGGCCTCCGTATGATCTTGTTTAAAAATATCACATTTTACTATCATCCCGTTGGTAAAATGTTCCCTGTCCGGATAAATAAAGGACAATTTATTAGATTTTTGTACGGACCAATCGACATATTTTGAAATTGTAACGAACAGTATACGAAATTACGACAAATAAACATTGTTATATAATCATTATTCTCACCTAACATCGGCAAGACAATTATGCACCTTGTCTATAACAATGAGTTGTAAAATTGGAATAGGAGCAACTATTCGACGGTCCTAATTCAGTTTACGTTAACAATTAGTCGAATCATCAACCAAATTTTCATAATTAATCAGCATATTGTTTACTTACCTTTTCGCCGAAGCCGCATCGGCGGGCACATTTGGGTTGCTCGAGGATTTTTAGTCTATATTCGAATTTGCCTCTATCGACAAGAGCAACACATAATTGTTGCGATTAGTATATTTCTAAAATAAAAGCACACTTTTGTCTAAATTATGGGTAAAATTATATTTGCATGGATTAAGTAGGCGTTCTCGAACTCCTAATTTTTTAACAAATACTTATCCACCCACCAATAATCAACGTTTTTGATTTGTTACTACCAATATTCATTTCGTGGTTCTCTACTTTTCTCACCTGTTGTTTAACGGATCAACCAATTTTGCACATTCCTCCTTGTCAGCATATTGGCTTCGTCTGAATCTGATGGTTCGACGAACATTCACGTCAGCTCTACCTGGATTTGCTTGTGAATTTCTTATATGTGAGGTTATGGCTTCTATGCTTCTTCTATCGTGTCCAGTATGTAATGCCATTTGATTTGTAGATAAAAGATTGTCTATGTTTTGATTCATTGGGGTATTTGTGCGGCTGCGGCGAGTGGGTAGGCGGAAAAGGTGAGTGGGGAGAGAGGCGAGTATGGAGTGAAGTTGAGGTGAGGGGGTACGAAGCGAGCTTTAATTTAAAGGATGGGAGTATAATGAAAATCCAGGGTATGGCTAACGTACAGCACGCCGCCTTTTTAGATATGAAGAGAGATGGTTTTATTTTGTTGGTGATTAAATATTAGTTAGTGTGTATATGCTATGTAATACGTTATGTGGAATGTTTGTGGACTGGACACAAGTGTAAATAATAATCTGAAGGGCAAAAGTTGTACTCTGACTGTCAGTTACGATAGTGTAATAAGGCCAAGAGTACGGTGTATTTTCTTGCAAAAAGGGATTATATATTGTAAATTAAGAAGAAGAAAAAAAGTGGGTTGCTATAACTGCATCTATTTCTATAACTATATTGGCAGTAACGGTATCATCAACTGCTTATTATAGAACCAGCAATATCTGATAAGATTTGTTAAAATATAACGACAGCTGTTAATAGCCCAAATAATGCAAAGCCGATTCATTTTTATATACGCAAAATCATTGTAAACCAATTTGGCCGTTTAACCAATTAACATACAAATCGTATATCATAATCGCGCATATCGATACAAGTAAACAATCTGTTCTCTACTATCTCGTAATTATTTAGTTGCCATATTATACATCAAATGGACGTCAATGTGACTGTGATTTTTATCAAGTATATTTTTATATATTATATATATATATATTTGTTTATCTCATCTTATTGTTTGTCAACTTGGAAAAAAAAATACCGATAATACTTTGGGGATGGATGATAACCAATAGAATTCATCTCTAGTTTCAATTAAGTAAGTTGTATGAAATATTACATAGCCCATTTGGCTAATACGACAATTAAAGTTACAATATTAGAATATATGTGGCGTATTTGCTATTTAACCGCTATGGAAAATAGAAATAAACAAGGGGTTTCTAGGTATAACGAATCGCATTATTAATGTGATTACACACATATGCGCTTACGTATGATATGTGTATATACATATTGGCGTCTATGCGCATGTTTATGTTCATTGACACGCTCAAGTTCTATACTCAAATAGTAAATTTTGAACAAGCTCAAGTACTCAGGCCATTTTTTAGACACGGGCAACCGGATATATGAAAAAACATTATTCCAAATTAGGAGAACCGAAATCAATTGAGCGCGGACAACAAACGATTGCATTTGTAATTTTACATTTTACATCACTGCTATTGCTCAATGTTTATCCATTTAGCATCAAACTAGGAGCACAGGGCTCAACCGATGACAAAACACAAACAGCCCAACCAACCATTTATTTTGCTTAAACCGGGATCAACCGTTACAATACCTCGGCAATAATGTGTTTACCACCTGTGTCGAATAGAACTAAAAGAACATTCTAAAGGCGGAGTTGCATGCATGTCTAGCAATCACTAGCTCAAGCTTGTTTGTAAAGACAAATTAGTACGTAAGTTATTTGTAATTGATAATGAAGGAACTGTAAACAATAACGTAAAAAAAAAATACTTATAAACAACCATGTCAATAAATGATAGGAACGTTTTTGTATAAACTATTTATTATATACTGTATTGCAATTATATCGAATTATATTACATTAACTATTGCACCGCATAATTGTATAGCTTAGTTATAGGTTTAAATTACCATATTAGTTACAGTAAAAATATTCCTCTTTTGCATTAATGGCATTTAATATAACCAATTTAATAAATCGTGGTAATTGTAATGCGTCCAATTATAATCTGACAATAATCAATGGAAAAAGAGACGTATTGCATGTAAACCATCCATTTTGTGACCGGTCCCAACAGATTTCTCTCTAATATTTTATCCCCACAATTACAACACATACACACCAGCAGTTAATGCATGATATTCTGAAAAGCGGGAAATATTCATTACAACAAAGTATTTCACGACATCAATATGTAAGCACATATACATATTATGTTGGTTACATTCGATATGTCACACTCAACGTTTTCTTGATTGTGTCTGCAATACTTGCACTTTTATGCTGTCTCTTTCACTTTTTTTTTCTTTGCTAACGGCTACTCGCTATCGAATCTCTTTTGCTCTTTCACTAGCACACTAACGTGTAGAGTCAAGATATCTGGGTTCTTTCTACAATAATGCACCTGGCATTTGGATTCACAAATGTCACACTTAATATCACTGTCCAATGTGACAACAAAGAATCAGGTCCTTGTCTCGAGACAAGGCGACAAAAGATAAGATGCCAATTGGACCATAAAGTATCAACACAACTCCAGAGCATGCTGGAATGAGAAAGGGGTTTGAATATTTAATGAGTGACTATAATCGAGTGTCTTTGTCATACGTATCCGTGATGTATGCCACCCTTAACACATACCAACAATGAAAAGCAAAATGATAATCATGGAGTTGGATATCCGTACTATAAAGACGGGTTAAATGTACGTTTCGACTTTTGGATTTGTGCATTTGTTATTCTTTATTCAAACATAACGCTAAAATGTTCTTGTTATACTTATTTATGTCTCATAGTCCGACTTTTTTTTTTCTCCAGGAAGTCGGACTAACATTAGAAGCACGCATGGAATGTCACACTCAACCTCCGAAAAGCCGGGTTGTGTTACATTTAAGCATACAAGTCATGAGTCAAAGAGATAATAGTTAATCGTAACGGTAGGAATAGACGCAAATTAGATTGTTGGTTAATCGGAAAGACCGTAATGGTGAATGAATGAATTGCAGATTTGGGTTGAATGGACAGTCAGAACCGGCCAGATATACGATTGTTTCTCCCAGCCGGTCATGCATAAATGGACCAAGAAGTCTAAATTTAACACGCGGAGAGTACAATTTGCTTGTTAGAGCATTAATGGGTGATAAACGAATAATATGTGATGAAACAACTATAATAATAACCATGACATGCTATTGGAAATCCGAATACCAAAAAAGGCAACGACATTTACTAATGGTCTATACTTGTGTGTTAATGCATTACAGTTTGACGCAATCCAAAAATGGTTATCACACATAAATACCATTTCATTTTCTGAGAATTGTTTTCGATAACACTATCAATGGCAACGGCTGTAGATAATTACTGAAAGCGTATGCCCCCCTTTTTTTTTTAGCACGGGGAGGGACACAGACCTTGGTTATGCACGTTTAACATAATACCTATAAACACTGTTTATTGTCTAGAAACACGTTATTCAGAGATGCTGATATATTAAAGATAAAAAAACAATAGTATTAATTTACAGAAATAGCAAGTCCATTCAATATCGATAACCAGTAAGTTTAGTTTAACATCTAACATATAAGCTCAAGAAACATAAACAGGTTAAGGAGTTGGATGCAAAGCTTGTGGCAAAGGACGTTGTGTACGTATTTATCTTCTTTAATGCAATTAAAAAGGTTATTATTCTTGTCGATTTTTCTGCATGAATGCATCGGCTGATTTATTGTTGATATGAACGAGTATTACAAATGAAAACAAATAAGATAAGCGAACAAGTTATAGACACAGAATAAATGTGTTATAAAAAAAATTTTTTTTTTTTTTTCAATTATTTCAATCGATAAATGTTGTTTTACAATAAGTCATATATCGTCGGTCAACCCGGAAATTATATGATTCCGAATTATATACAACTGTTAATGTGTTCAATGTATTATATATTTTGTCAATATATTTGGTTTACTATAATAATAAAATAAAAACTTTGATTCTATAATATTAAATAAATGAGCAAAATAAAAAAATACATAACCCTATCGGCCGAGGTCCAGGAGTTTGATAAGCAAATCTAGAACGTATCATTTCATACTTGAACACGAGATAAGCGTGAAAAAAAAAAGTTATTCTTAGTCAGCATGATAAACGATGTATGTACTATAGCAACTATTTGCGTGGCATTGAATAGACTACATAAATTGGTACACGTCACAACAAAACCACAGACGGCTAACTGAATGTGACGAGCGGAAGAGAAGAAGACGTGGTATATAAATGTTGGAGGACGCAACTTTGTCAAGAGGCGAGCGACAAGTAAGGAGAAACAGGCAAGTTTGAGCTACAGGTAATTGTTAAAAGTCTATAAAACAAGAGATAGTAGAAATTTTCAATAATAATACAGATGCAGGTAAATGCATAATAGCGTGTGCCAGAAAGTTTTGTTTGGAAGAAAAAGACGAAAATAAAAGCAATAAACCGTGACAGAATTCTTTATCTCAAAAGCAGCCCTATTGCCACACCAAAGGTACGTATGTTATCGATCCAAGGGACAGTTACAGTATGTACATGCGTATACCTGTTTTAATTCATATACGTGTTTCTGGTTGTGTTAATAATTGACATATAGAGTGACAGACAATAAATGAGTATGGACTAGACAACGTGCCGAAAACGACACTATTTATACGCATCTCGTATAGTTTACACTTTGATTTTGTTGACAGGTTTGCAATCGTCTATAAGTTTTGTTCAATAGCAAAATCTATGTTAATACGTTGTTTATGTAATGCATTAGTTGCTGTCTAAAATTTCTTATGCTCACATTCGGACGGATCGAAAGATTGTAGATGGAATCAACAAAAAGAAATGGTTTGGGGTTAGATTTAAAGCAGAGTATAATCTTTGGCTTTCGAAAATGAAGAAAGCACGGGTAAGTCATAGCTATTTTATGTATCGTACAAGAGTCTACTATACCTGCATCAATGAATTCATACTTCATAATATGTATACTGTGACTACTAATATCGTACACATACTTTGCAATTAATGCGGCGATACTGTTAACGAAATCTGTTGTTTACTCGTTAAACTGCTTTCATTATACGTGTACATTGATTATTTGACAACAGTTGACAAGATATGGACAGGGTAGCATACGAT